CATTTAGCCTCTCGGCCTCCCCGTCTATAATATGAGATAGCGGGGTTTCTGCTAAACTAACAAGCACATGTGTTTGATTCTATCATGAACTTTTTACTCTTAGCGTGAAACCTGTTTAGTAGAAAATTCATTATTAAATCGTGCGTGTAGTTGTTGCAAAAAAAGATTTATGAAATTGAATGTCGTCAAATTTTATTGAGGTTAGTCTTTAAAACTTGTTTTATTATACAAAAATAAATATTGGGTGATAAAATCTGCATGCAGTGATAGAGTAAGATCGTATTCATAGGAATACACGTGATATAATGATTTGTTTAATTGTAAAGATTAGATTTGATGATCCCGAAACCGCAAGGCATGAAAATCGTAGTATGAGTCGATATTCCTATATACTCAGGATATACCTAGCTAATATGTAATCTAAACAATTCAATGTCTCAAAGCATACTATCGAACGAAATGTTAAAAATGAGGATTCTATTGTTAAGATTACTCACATACACACGCATCGAAAAATTATATAATTATTATATATAACATTTAAATTCTTTGTTCCTGCTTGTATGTAATATAATAAAAGCGTGTATATATAAAAAGCTTATCTTTATTTTTTCCTTAGTTTCCCGTTATGAGATATGACCTCACACAAGAAAACCCTTCCATCACATATTAGGAACCCTTTTTTTGAATGATCAAAATCTGCACTTTTAATAAAAAATTTCACATACAACAAAGTATAGCTATTATCGACTGCTAACTTTTGGCGATAAAACTTAAATATATTTCCGTAAATTTGACGTAAAACTAGAAATTTAGATTATAAATTAAATAAACTACAAGCCTTTAAAAAAAGGTATCTCATAAGGCGACTTTACCCTATGTATGTATGCGTGTATATGCATATGTATATGCGTGTATTGTACTTATACTGTTGAATGTGTACACAATATATTGAACAAAGTTATATATATCTCTTACAACTGTAACGCTATACGCTCGAAATAAAATAAGAAGTGTGTGACGATTACGCCATCCCAGAAATGTATCATCGATCATTCCCACATTGTAATTTGTACTACACTTCGAACTTTAGCCAAACAGCTATAACAACCAACAGTTCGTCATGCAAGAGCGCGGAAACAAGAGATAACTCGTGTTCGGTTCAGTGTCTTTAATTACCGTGAAATCTCGTTGTATCACCTAGGCATTCTGCATCGGGAACATCTACGAGAGCCTATTATTGTCGACACGATATTTACAACTTAATGACATTCACCCTTGTGAGAGTTCCTGCGTGCGTAAGAGAACTCCGCGTGAATTGCGCTGTAGTATAAATTCTCTCTATTGCAAAATAAAGAAACAATTGTCGGACGAGAGCGCGTATTTCCATTTGTTACTCGAGATCACGTGAGATGAGCAAATTACAAGTCTCAAATAGATCTGAATAGATCTTGTCCGTTTTCGTACTTAAATAATGAATACGAGAATATTTTTAGGCGCACGTTATCTAAATAATGAGATCTATATCTATTTAATTCAATTTAATTTTTAGGCAGATAAGATCTAAGAATTAGACACAGATTTATTGTGTAAAAATTTGTTTCTTTTAGAGATATATCTATCGCCGGCCGCATTTCGTTGGTGATGTTGCCATGAAATTCTTTCAGTACTCTAATTTTGCGATAAGACTACAAGACTAGCTCAGTTTTCGTCGCGTAATCCTGCAGTTTCTTCTGCACGACTTCTGGTTTCTCGTCTTTTCTCTAACATAATTTATGTCGATTTACCCGTTACATCGTCCTTACCCTGCAAAACACAACAAAATTATTAATATTAAATTATTAAAATTCTTATTAAACTACAAAGTATTATTAAATTATTATTATATAATATTACTATAACTAACGTCAAAATATTCGACTCTCGTTATAAGCGAAATAGATATAGTATTTTTTTAATAATTAGATCAAAATATTTTATAACAAGTTCTATCGTGTTACAGTCTTGGCTGCAGATATAAAGCACTTCCACAAATTGACGTAAACGTAACAAAAAATAAATTTAAAAAGTTTTACTATAAAATATTTATTCGTATAATAATTTTAATCTTGTTAATTTTTATTTGGATTTTATTGCGTTTCTTCCAAGTAAATTGAGAGTGCTTTATACTTATGACCAAAGAATCGATTGATTATAGTATGAACTCATTGTCAGTTATACTCTAGGCTTGTTTCAGCTCTATTTTTCAATGAAATAGATATGCACTTATTGCGCTGATTACCGGCATTCGTGGATCGTTGAAGCCAATGTTGTAGACCCTACCACCGGGCAGATGAATTCATCTGCTCTTGACTCGGTCCAGAATTGATTGGCACTACGAGATTTAGCATGAGATTGATTGAAGAATGTAGCCTCTGCAATCGCTTCGCCTGCGACAACGTCCTCGAGAATCCTGCCAAGATATTCGTTCGCGTTTAGAAATACAGACTGCAGGTTCATGGCTTCAAGAAAACGTCCTCGATCTCGTGACGAGGTCAGTATAATTTTCATTCCACTCATCGTCTAACAGCCAATTCCGATCCGCCATCGATCCGATCTCGTCATCGATAAAGGATATCATCGTATCATCTGGGACGAAGCTACCCCTGGCTATGTACTTCTTTATCTCTTTGCCTATGATCTGCGAATAAGACATTTTTTAGTAAACATCAGCTAATAGTAATTATAACGTTAATGTTATAACTTCACATTCAACAGTGTAACTGTTGCATATGTAATATTATATTTGTATTGTTAAGTGTAAAATAACATTGATGTTGTGTTGCTGTGTGCGTTAGTGTTTTTATTATTTCTCTGAAGACGCTTCGTCAATGGGAGTCAGTAGGACTTTCTTTCATTGAATTATAATGTATAATAATTGCGAAAATTTTGTTGTGATATTGAAAATATCATGTTTGGGGGGGTGTTTTTATAATTAACGATAAACCACAATCTTTCAAGCACTCAAGTATTCAAGTATTCAAGTATTCAAGTATTCAAGAATTACTTTATGTAATTTTAAGATTTGCACATATAAAGCGGTAATCGTACTAGAGCGATTGGCGATTACTTTTCAAACAGAGCAAAGCAGTCACCGATCGCTTTGCTGTAATTGGTTGAAAAGTATATAATATACCTAGGAAAAAATAGTTTATATATAATTATATAAAATTATATATAATTTTATATATT